ATTAGGAGCAAGTTTATGCACTTAAATCTTGCCAGGTTCAGCATAAACACTGACAATGATAAGTTGAGCTGATGAAAACCAATCAATACCATTTCCCACACTTCAGTTTGGTAATGTTTCACAGGATTACAGGTGATTAACTACAGAAGAATATGTCAGCAGTAAAAATTAGTGTTATCTGTGGCCCATGTTTATTGGTTATTTAATTCTTATGAGTCAAATTAGTTTGACTTAATGTGATTTTAAGTGATAGTAAAACCACCCAATGCAAAGCAAAATATTCATTAAGATGTGAAGCTCCAATATTCATGAGGAATGAACTTGAACTTAGATTTATCCTTTGTTGTAAGTTAACTGTATTTAGATTTATCCTTTGTTGTAAGTTAACTGTATCACCTCCTGTTATAAGTTTGTATAATTTAAAATAGGAGAAAGAAAATTCTTCATCTTAGGTGGCTAAGGCCTCTGACTTACAAGTGTTCAGCTTCAGCATACCTCATCTTAGAGAAAAGTGTCTGAAATATCGGGCAAAACAAAAAGAAAAACAAAAAGCCTACCGCCACCATAAACAGCATGTGCACACATAGACACACACATACACATGCACACAACCTGGGAGACACATTTCTGGGAGTCCTGGTGGAGTCAGGACTCCCAGGAACTACGGAAATGACCTTCTCAGAGAAGGTCCTGTGGGTGAGTAAGCGCGAGACGATCCCGAGAAGGGTTCGAGGACAAAGCAGCTGGACAAGCTGCACCCTCTGCCTCTCCCTGCAGAGCCACCCTGCACGCGGGTCTATCACACCCACTGAGAACCAGTAATGACAAAGGACTATTGTGGCTCCTCCAGCATTTTCCAACATCGTTTGATCATGAGCTTCTTCCCCACTCCCATTAAACTGATTGACCTTGAATGGAATTTCTGTTTCTTGGAGCTCACTTTGGGAAATGCTGATCCTTGATGTGGAAATCGGACACTGGAAAGCAGAGAGAATCTGCACAGAGCCAAAGAGAAGGGCATGCTGAGAACCAGAGAACCCGACCTCCGGCAGGGGCCTCTGGTGCCCACCACGGTGTCCGTGCTGTCATCTTGAATCACCTAGATTCCATTCTCCCCTCTGCAACCGAGAGCAGGCAGGCAGTCACCTCCCCACCTGAATCCCACTTTTCCCAATTGGAAAATCACAGTTCAAAGGAATGATCTTGACTGACCTTTCTAGGCCCAATTATACGATTCTATCTTAACTATCATTATGGAAGAAGAGAAAAGGATTTGCTTGAAAAGAAATCTCTTTATAACCAACTGGTTTGGAATGCAAAATAAATGGTGTTTGAAATAGAAACCCTATAATACAACCACATGTGGATAGGTGATTCTTAACATTCATTATTCTGGTCATTTTGATAGAAAATTCAGTCACAGGGTGCACCCTGGAATAAACCTAGTGTTAGTACTGTACTTGCTGTCATTCAAACTTAAAAGGAAAAAAAAAAGGCCAGAAACTTTCAGCAGCTAGATCTTTGATTAAAGCCAAGGGCCAACCTCAAAATTAGTTCTTTTAATTAATTGTCCTTCAGGTTGTACAATCTGTGGCTACAGTATTCTTGGTTATTAATCACAGTTTGCACTTCAAAAAAAACAAGATGTGGTTGAAGTAACTGAGTTAAATGAAGCTAATCTAAAATATGGTGAAATAAAACAGGGCAAATTATTTTGCAAAAGTGTCTATATTTTGCATATGTCATTGTTTTTCTTTAACAGAAAATTAAATTAATTGGTGAGAGAAGGTATAATTGCCTGGAAAGCTAAATCATTGATCTGATGTCACCTACGAGCTGACAGTTTCCCCCATAATTTCCATTACCTGGACTCTGTAATTAAATAAGTTAGAGGTTGAAGACTTAAAGTCACCTACAAGTTGCATCCCACATTATATGAAACAAGAAACTGAAACAGTCACCAAATTGATAGCAAATTAACTTGCTGTATTTCCATATTGAATCAAACTAGCTTTTTCAGGATCCATCTGTAACAGTCACTTTCAGATATAATGTTCAGTACACATTTGGTTAGAAAAGTAGAAGTCGACATCTTGATAATGCAAACTGACAGTGATATAGACTCCTCCCCTGAGACATGTACCATTAGGCAATACTTCTGCTCCTCATCATGTTGGGTCTAATCTATAGTTCTCACTTACGACTGCACATTAGATTTGCCAGGGGAAGTTTTAAAATTTGCCGATGCTCAGGTTGCATCTGAGATTAATCAAATCAGATTCTCTGGGGGTGGAACCTAGGCATCAGTATTTTTCTAAACTTCCCAGGAGATTCGAGTATGCAGCAAAATTTGATAACCAGTGAAGCAGAATAGCGCAGTCAATAAATTTTCAAGTAAACTTGCTATACCATTTTGGGTTAAAATTGGCAGTGTGAAGCACACTTCTTTCTTTTTCAACTCTTGTGTATGTAGAAATCTGAACAGAAATTAAGCTATTCCTTTTAAGAAGACAAGTAAAATGTAAAAGGTAGATAATAAAATCTCATGGTGGATCCCTTTTTGAATGTCTGCTTGGTTTGTGAGAAACTCGACTGCCTTCCTCCTCCGTCCACGGTAGAAGGTTCTCGTGGCCATCCAAACAAAATGGGCCACTTGGAATCCCAAGTCTGGATTTTTGAATTGAAACCGAGAGCTAATATTTCTGTATGGCTGGATGTGTGGGCTGTGGAATGGCTGAGTGTTTTGGCAGATGGACCGAGTAGCTGAGACAGTTACAGGGAGCGGAGAGAAAGAAAGAGACATAAGGGAGAAGAGATGGGCAGAATGAATCAGAGGTAACAATGTGTCTAGATTCCCAGGGTAGACATCTGTCATTTCTGCCTGCACAGCATCCCTCTCCATTTTGTTAACAGTGTCCTCTTCTCCGTCAGGAATGATCTCACTCCCATTCCGTACGGGCTGGGCATAACTGGCAATTCAAGCCTACTTCCCTCTTGCTCCATGAGCAGAGACTCAAGGCAGAAAAAGGTGGCACTGTCATTTGGTGACTCTCATTGGGACAAAATGTTAGTTCCTGCTGCAGGATCCCTGGAGCTGCCCTGATTCCTGTCCCTCCTGGCGTCTGATCGCTCAACAAGTCTTTGAATTGTGGGATCAAGGGTGTATGTTGCTTGCAGTTGAGTTTTCTCTAGTTTTCTCGTCCTAGCTAGAATCCAGTTGGAGGCTTTGTAGTGTTCTGTTTTGGCGTTCATGCGGCACTCGTGTATCCTTAAGTTTTTTTAGCTTATGGTGTTTTTGATATTTGTAACTACACATCTTAACTAGTGCAGACTTTTAATTGACTCCCCTATTCATGTGGATGTTCCTGAGACTGACTAAAGCAGGAAGGCCTTCTAAGCCCTGCTCCAACCTTCAAGGTCATAGTCAATCCAACCCAACTATTTTATCATTCTGCATGCTTTCTGAGCTCCAGGGCTGTATCTGCATTTTGCAAGTACAAAGATCTTGGAGAGAAATTCATAACAAAGGTATATTTTGTGAACAATAAGATTAAAAGCTTATCATACACAAACATGGTTCTAAATAATGTATGATCCTTTGATGAGGAGTCCAAATCTACTCCTGAAAAAGGGTCTTATTTCCTCTATCAAAGAACATGAAATAAAATTATGGTACTGCTATCAAACCCAACTGTGCACCAATAATTTTTCATTTCCAATGGTACTCTTCTTTATTGAAATTTTTTAAATTAAATAACAAACTATGCCAGCTAATATAATAAGTACATCCTTGAGTTCAATATCAATATACTTGGCACACAATTCAAGACCAGCTACTCAGATTTGGGAAGCACGCAGTTTCTTCCTTGTGGCAGTGAGGAGAGTTACAGGGACAACACCCTGGAGACCAGGGAGCCTCCCTGATTTCGCAGGCCCAAGGCACAGACGTGGCGAGGTGTCTGGGGTCTTCAAATGGCTGGCTTCTTTTTTTTTTTTATCCTCACCTGAGGACATTTTTCGATATTTTGTTCAGATAGAGTGAGAGGGACAGAGGGAGAGAGATAGAGAGAGAAATATCAACGTGAAAGGGACACATTGAGTGGTTGCTACCCACAAGACCCAACCAGGGCCGTGGACAAACTGCAACTGAGGTACGTGCCCTTAGCGGGAACCCAGCCCAGGTCTCTCTGGACCGCAGGCCGACGCTCCAACCGCTGAGCCAAACCCGCCAGGGCAAATGCCTGGCTTCTTGTTAAATCTGCATCCATGGAGCTAGGTTTGGATCATATTATTAAAATTCAGAGATAATTAGTAAAAAAAGAAAAAGCAAAGCACAGTGTTAAGCAGCTTAAGTGATTAACAATGTTGTGATCTCTGACAAACTCTGGATGAACTATAATGACATGGAAAGAGTTGGGCCAGCGCCGATAAAATGCGATCATAAAGTCTGACCAGTTTACGTTTCCCTCTCAAGGAGTCTAAGGAAAGGTAAACATTACCTAGGAATATTCTGGTAAAGAAAGTAGGGTCAATAAAAAGAAGCAGTTTAAAAGGTATTCTTCTGACCATCATACTTTATTTTTAATACAAATAGGTAATAAAATAAAAGATACCCAGGTATCTTTTAAATAAGAATACATTTTCTATATTCCAAGCCATCATTTACAGATTAACACTGCAAAAATTTTGAATAACTCTTAATTTTTTTACATAAAATTATATGAAATAAACAAAATTATATGTAGGATGAGAACCAAAAAATAAGAAACAATTAAAATTCCTAAAAATCTTATCTGTGTATTAATTCCTTCACAGTCCCCAAAATTCACACGCATCTACAAAAAAAAGTAGGTATTTTTAACATTGAACATTATTTACAACAGAAATTCACTTCTCAGTTACTTTCGATTCTGCTGGCCTGCCCGACACACACTGTGGTGTCCAGAGACAGAACTGCTGTCCTACCCCGCAGGGGCGGCCACTCAGCCGGGAAGGAAGGATTACACCAACTCGTAGTATTTCCCAGTCTGGGGGTCAAAGTAACAGTTCAGACATGGGTCATACAGAAGAGTCAGCACGTCCTCGTCCTCTTCCACACTCAGGTCTTCTTCACCTGTGGGAAGGGGAACCACAGACATGTTAGCTACTGGCCTGGCCTGGAATTCCTCAACGGCGACGTCAGAAGGGCAATGAGACCAGTCACCATTGCTCCCTGGAGACTTTCTCTGTGTGGGCAGGAGGCGGCTGCGGGTGGAGGGTGCTGGTCTTGATGACACCATGCAGTGTGGGACGGAGAGACAGCGTTCACCGGGCCAGCTCTGGTAGGCAGGGTAAGAAAGACTGAGTGTGGAGAACAGGCAGAGGGAAGGGAGAGAGCCCAAGGACTAAGGGTTATGTTAATCAGGGTCGGGAAATGAGCAGGATTCACGATCTAGACTTCTTCAGGGGCCATAGCTGTACAATGCAAAACACTGTGAACTGAATGATATAAAAATGAACTCGATCCCCATTCATACAGCCTAAAAAACCCACCAAATAAACACAAATTAAAAAAAAGTGTTTGCAACACACAGTACAATATATAGATGATGGGGTATAGAATTGTACAACTGAAACCTATATAATTTTATTAACCAATGTCATGGCAATAGATTCAATAAAATTTTAAAAAAATGAAATGTTTAGAAAGATTAATAAGATACGTAATGCACAGAACACATATGGGAAACACAGTGTCAGGTGACCTGTTATTTTATCAGTGGTGGGAAGCCTGTGAACTTTGCTAGGAACACGAACATGGTTTGAGGTTTTCTGTTGTGACAGCCATTTGGGTGGTTTGCCTAGGTCATTAGCAAGGTTTGGCTGGTTTCTAACACATGGCATGAAATGAAAATAAGTTGTTTCACTAAGATGTTTCCTGTGAACCTTTTCTGTGCCCAACGTTGTGCTAAGTACTTGGGTACCTGACGCCATCATCAGCAAGTGCCTTCTGAGTGCTTCTGAAAATCCACGTAATAGACATTCAGAGGCTGGGGGGCAAGGCCTCCCTGAGCTGGAGAAAATCAGAGCAGACTCGGGGGTGGGGATGGGGGTGATTAAGACAACACTCCTTGGTCTTCCTTACCATAGGCTGCTAAGAACCAATGAAACCAAACTTTTGGGTCTTGAGCTCACCAGGGCAGTTTGGGAAGGTGGTGGGCACAGGACAGGGCTGGCGTGTATAGAGGCTCAGTGAATACTGAATGTTTTTTGAGAGGGTGACTATGTTATTGTGAAACAGCCTGTGAGCTCAAGTGTCACTGCCTCTGAGTAAGGGAAGGTGGTGAGACTCATTTTACAACCCCACCCTCAGCACAATTAGATCAAGCCAGTGCATGGACATTGTCAGGACAGGGCAGAATGGAGTTAAGTCCCAGGAAGTGGAGCCAAGATGGTGAAGGGCGGGTCTGAAACTGTACCACAGCCATTCGCCTGCCCACCTTCTGCTAACCATCCAAAACACTTAATGTGGTCCTTCCCTGCCAGGCTCGGAGCTGGGTGTTGGGGACGTGACAATATGAAAACCACCAGGCCTTGTTCTTAAAGGAGTGTGCAGTGACCCGGTCGAAATATGCAAGCAGCCCAATTTAAGGGTGAGGAACGAGGATCTGCAACATTAAGTAGCTCCTGTGAGGCCACTGGGTGAGTCAGAGGCAGGATCCGGGGTGAACCTGGGTTTCTGGACTCAGGTCGGTGCTCTTCCGACCACACTGGCTTGATGTTTTATTAAGAAGGTGGTGTAACACAACTCAGTTGGGACTATTACATTACAGGAATTTAAACACAAAAAAGAGCAAAAATGCCCTGGCCGGTTTGGCTCAGCGGTTAGAGCGTTGGCCTGCGGTCCAGAGAGACCCGGGTTCGGTTCCCGCTGAGGGCATGTACCTCGGTTGCAGTTTGTCCCCGGCCCTGGTTGGTCGAGCAGATGGCAGCCACTCGATGTGTCCCTTTCACGTCGATGGTTCTCTCTCTCTCTCTCCCTCCCACTCTATCTGAAGAAAAAAATGGAAAAATGTCCTCGGGTGAGGATAAAAAAAAAAAAGAGCAAAAATGATTGTAAAGGTGTCCTACATTAAAAAAAATCAGGTTCGGGGGGATCCAAAATGGCGGTGAGTGAACGGAAGCTACACAGACCGTCTCCCAGGACCAGGCTGGAATTACAACTATAACACAGACAAATCGACGGGAAAAAGCAACAGAAAAGCAGCTTGCGAGGACCATATAACCAGGGACACTGACTCCATCCCAGTAGGCTTGCGAAGGCGCGAGACGGGGCTGGGAGCCCACGGTCGGCAGCTCGGCAGTGCCTCAGCTGGGAGCAGCGCCTTCGGGATAAAGTCCCAGGCGGCTCCATAGTGCAGAGGCCGGACAGAGACTAAAACAGCCACAGCCACTCACCTTGGGCTCCGGCAGAGGGAGGACTGGACTGGAACTGTGTGGGGACTCTCGGGATTTGGAGGGTGCTCAGAGCTTTTGCTGAGTTGCTGCCACGCAGGACGGTGGGCATATTGCTCCTTCCCAGGGCTCTGGGGAGAGGCAGCAGCCCCTCCCTCGGAGATCCAACCCCACCCAGTGGGCCATTGAAGTGCTAATTGAGGATCATTAACAACCAGCATCTGCCCCACCCTCGGGAAATCCCCTTATGCTGAGCACCTGAGGGAGTTTTACAATCAACTTACAACCAGAAACTCTTCAAGTAACCTCGACTGCTAGCCTCCAGGCAAAAAGCTAGAGGATAACAGTACCTTTCCAGGGCTAGGAACTTTAACCAGGAAAGTAAGACTTGACAGTGGTGTTTAACGTGGGTCCTCCCTCGCTCATCTAAACCCAGGAGAGGGAGCCACGAAGAGTAGAACACCAACACCCACAAGGAAAACTTGACAGTCTCCAAAGCCCACTGTGATAGCCAAAATGGTGAAACACAGAAACAGAAGCCAAATGAAAGAACAAGAAACCTCCACCCAAGATGAGATCAATGTGGAGCAGTTAGGCAAGTTAACAGAGCTAGAATTCAGAGCCATGATCTTGAGGAAGCTCAGCAACATGAGTAAGGACATAGAGATGCTGAAAATAAACCAATTGGAAATTAAAAACCATCAAGAAAAGATAAAAAATGACATATCACAAATCAAAAACACATTGGAAGGTCTAAAAAGCAGAGTAGAGGAAGCTGAGGACCGGATCAGTGAATTAGAAGACAGGGTAGAAAAAATCAACCAATCAGAAAACCAAAAGGAAAAAACGATTAAAAAACAGGAAGACAGCTTAAGAGAACTGTGGGACAACTGGAAACGTAATAATATTCGCATCATAGGAGTACCCAAAGAAGAAGAAAATGAACAAGGGTTAGAGAATATACTCAAAGAAACAGTGACAGAAAACTTCCCTAATTGGGTGAAAACTTCCCTAATTTGGTGAAGGAAGAAGGCATTCAAGTTCAAGAAGCACAGAGAGCCCCAAGGAAGAAGAACCCAAACAGGCCCACACCAAGACACATAGTAATCAAAATGCCAGAAATTAAAGACAAAGAGAGAATCCTAAAAGAAGCAAGAGATAAGCAACAGGTTACCTACAAAGGAAACCCCATAAGGCTCTCGGCTGACTTCTCACAAGAAACACTACAGGCCAGAACGGAATGGCATGAAGTAATCAAGGTCATAAAAAACAAGGATCTGAATCCAAGACTACTCTACCCAGCAAGGCTATCATTCAAAATAGGTCAAATAAAGAGCTTCCCAGACAAAAAAAAGGCTAAGAGAATACATTAGCACCAAACCAGCACTGCAAGAAATGTTAAAAGGACTACTGTAATTAGTAGAAGAAATAGGAAAAAAAATATAATCACACTAAACAAAAATGGCAATAAACAAGTACATATCAATAATCACCTTAAATGTAAATGAACCGAATGCTCCGATAAAAAGACACAGAGTAGCTGATTGGATAAGAAAGCATGACTCATCTATATGTTGTTTACAAAAGACCCACCTCACACCGAAACACTCACATAGGTTGAAAGTGAAGGGATGGAAAAAATTTTTCCAACCAAATGGAAAACAAAAAAAAGCTGGGGTAGCAATACTCATATCTGATAAAATAGATTTCAAAATGAAGGCCATAACTAGAGACAAAGAAGGCTACTACATAATATTGAAAGCATCTATCCAACAGGAAGATATAAGCTTGATAAACATATATGCACCCAATATAGGAGCACCAAAATATATTAAAAATATTGTGGAGGACTTCCAAGGAGAAATCGATAGCAATACAATCATAGCAGGGGACTTCAACACCCCGTTGACACCACTGGATAGATCCTCTAGACAAAAAATTAGCAAGGAAACAGAGACCCTAAATGAAGCACTAGACCAAATGGATTTAATAGGTATGTACAGAGAATTACACCCCAAAACTACAGAATTCACATTCTTCTCAAGTGCACATGGGACATTCTCAAAGATAGACCACATGATAGGACACAAACTAAATCTCTACAAGTTCAAGAAGATTGAAATCATATCAAGTATCTTCTCAGATCACGATGGCATGAAACTAGAAATCAATTGCAACAAGAACATGCAAAGACATTTCAACACATGGAGGCTAAATAGCATGTTATTAAACAATGAATGGGTTACCGAGGAACTCCAGGAAGAAATTAAAAACTTCCTGGAAACCAATGAAAATGAACACACAACAACACAAAATCTATGGGATGCAGCAAAAGCAGTTCTGAGAGGGAAGTTCATAGCACTACAGGCCTACCTCAAGAAACAAGAAAAATTTCTAATTGACTGTCTAGTCTCACAACTTAAAGAATTAGAAAGCAAACAAAAAGAAAACCCCAGAGCAAGTAGAAGGAAGGAAATAGTAAAGATCAGAGCAGAAATAAATGACAGAGACCAAAAACAAAAAAACCCAAACAACAACAACAACAAACAAACAAACAATTCAAAGGATCAAGGAAACAAAGAGCTGGTTTTTTGAAAAGATAAACAAGATCGATGGACCCTTAGCTAGACTCACCAAGAAACAAAGAGAGAGAACCCAAATACACAAAATCAGAAATGA